TCTCATTGAAGACATTGACAAACAGTACAAGTTCTCATTTCCTGAAGAACTAGACCCTTTCTTTGCTCATTTGGGGTTTTATGAATTACATATGTTTCCTTTGTTAGTCTTAATCATACCCGCTAAATGTTGGGGGAGGAATAAATATTATACTGTCATTTATAAAGAGTATTGAATTTCTACCTTACTTGTTTTTTGGTGCTTTTTTTATTTAGGAACTTTGTGCTGCCTTTGAAGCCAAAGAAGAGACATATAAATGTCTAATGCAGAAAGGCCAGCAGATGCTTGCAAGATGCCCAGAGTCTGCTGAAACAAACGTTGAGCAGGACATAAATAACTTAAAAGAAAAATGGGAATCTGTGCAAACAAAGCTCAGTGAAAGAAAAGTATGTGTTTTTACATAAAAGTAGAAGTGTAAATCATGTATTTAAGGGTGTTAATGATCAGTGCTTTTATGCATGCATACTTGCTTGATCTTTTAGATTTAAAACCAATTGTAGAGACAGGCAGAATGTTTAGAAAGTACTGAGAAAAATGAAATTCAAGAAGTTAATTAGCCATACTTGGAGGGGGGAGGATGGGTGGGAATGGCACAAGTTTTGTTCCATAGAAATACATTAACAGATACTGTTAATGCTCTTTTAGTAGGACTTGGGCTTTTATGGGATTTTATTGCAATAATCTAGACACAAGAGACTCAATGATTGTTCATCTCCTTCTCAGTACAGAATTTCTGCATTAATTTTCCTAGTTTTTATCCATTTTTTCTTAAAATTCCCAAACTCATGGCCTTTTGCCACTTACTTCAAGTGACTACCTTCTATTCCAACAGAACAATAGCATAATTTCACTGATATGCAACACACATAGGGCTACACCAAAATGACAACTGAGCTTTATTAAAAAGAAGTGGTCTAAGAAAACTTATTCTTTGTTTAGGCTCTTTCAAGTGCACTGCCACCTTAGATTTCTGAGATTCTACTGGTTTTGTATTGAAATTGATAAATCCATATGTCCCATTAGGATTAAATAGTAGAAGATATGTTCTAATGTGGAAAAATTTATCTTGATACTAGGTGCTGTATTTTCTATTCATCTACCATAGATAATTTTGTTGTTAATCTTCTATCCATCTCCTTGGATATGCTCGAGTGCTGTTATTTTAAAACTCAGAAACTCTAAGTCGGAAAAGTGTTTTAAAATGCTCAACTAAAATGGTTTACTGCAAAGTGTTGAGCTAAAATGGCTTCCTTGGCCGAAGCCCCTGCGCAGTATCAACTGCTATTAAAGTATGACTTATCTTTACAGACCAAACTGGAAGAAGCTCTCAGTTTAGCAATGGAGTTCCACAACTCACTTCAAGATTTCATCAACTGGCTTACTCAGGCTGAGCAAACTCTAACTGCAGCTTCTCGGCCAAGTCTTATCTTGGACACTGTCTTATTTCAAATTGATGAACACAAGGTATGTAAAGAAACAGATGTGTAATGTTTTTCTCCCACTCTGTGGAGATACTGTAACAATGTCCAAATGAACCCTATAATGCTGGCACTTGGAGAAACATTTCATTTGTTTTAAAATTGCATTTTATAGTCTTTCTCACTGTATCATTTTTTATCAGACTGGTTTTTTTCAGTGTTTACCCAGCAACACAGTATTCAGTAATCTTCTCCCTTTTTTCCCAAGGTTTTTGCCACAGAAGTGAACTCTCATCGAGATCAAATCATAGAACTGGACAAAACTGGAACGCATTTGAAATATTTCAGCCAGAAACAAGATGTTGTCCTTATTAAGAATCTGCTTATTAGTGTACAGAGCCGATGGGAAAAAGTAGTTCAACGTTTAGTTGAAAGGGGAAGAGCTTTGGATGATGCAAGGAAAAGAGCCAAGCAGGTAATGGGACAACAGCTGTTTTACAGCTCTTTGAACTTAGCTCTAATTGCATCCATATTCCTGACAAATATGGTGCTTTAAAGCACTTACAAAGCAAGCCTGGGTTTAGTGTAACAGACAGTGTTGAGTTAGTGGAGCAATTTCTGTGATTCAATCATAGGGCACTTCATTTGGGAGGTGAAAGCGTCATTTTCAACCCAAGCAGTGACTTCTGTCTGCAATACAGGACAGTCTGAAGGAAGAAAGTAACAGCATGGATTCCAGATGTGTATTAGTGCCATCTGTCCTCAGAAAGAAGTTTCGCAATCAATCCCATATATTTTAAAGAATATGATGACCCCGTTTCACTAATCTGTGGGAATATTCCTTAGTATTTTCATCTTGGATCTATGTTGTGCCCTGATTAATAGTCATCACTTATCACTCAGTCTCTTACGTTAGTTACTAGACCAATATCTTCTGTGTAGTAACATATCTCCGTTTATTTCCCTATAAACCTGGAGAGGTGGCGGTTTTTTACACAATTTTCTTCACTGGAAAGCATTTATGTTTTTTTCCTTAGATACATACTTCCCTCACCAAGAAAGATGAATGATGAGATGCAAAATGTGTGAGAGAAATGTAATCTGCTTGAATGGCAATAGGAAGTTCTAGCTTCTTTTTATTCAAGTGAACATGATCATTCAAGATTTGGTGATGTTCACAGCCAAACCACATTTGCATGTACAGCACTACCACCACTCAGCTCATAGAGCAAAAAGTTCTGTGAGCAGTAAGTTAGCCCATAAGCCAATCATGTTACTTATTTTCCAACTGTTTTCTCTTGTGCATTCACGCACACAGCAGTTCTGCAATGAGATGGATTTCATCTCAATATCCATTTACAAAGCTGAATACAGCGTTATTAAGATGACAACTGTCTGTGTAAAGTGTTTGAAGGAGTACTGAAGGCTACCTGTGTCAAGGCCTAATCAGCAGCCCTGAACAACAGGGTCCAGGGCCCTTGAGAGGTTTTTGAACTAGTTTCTTGGGCTTTCATGTGTGGGCAGCTCAGGCAAGAAGAATTTTCAAAAGGCAGAGAAATGACCAGCTTAAAAAAATCAAAACCCAAAGGGATGCCACTCTGTGAAAGCTCGTTGAATCTTTAGCTTTTCCCTGCTTCCTTCCCCAAAGCGCTCTTTTGGTCAAAACAGGAAGGAAGATCAAAAATCTGTTCCTTGCCCGTTAAGATAGCATTTGATATAATGAGAGCATTCAGGGGCGTTGCAGGGAAAATCTTGGGCAGTCATCCAGACAGAAGTTTTCCCCAGTGATTTACCGCTACCGTCCTATATAAGCAATAGCTAATCCCCATTCTTTCTGTATTTACTATCCATTACTAAAAATATAGAAATCTAAATGACCAACACATCAACAGATGTTACCAGTATGTCTCTGACAGATGCATACTACGTGTGCACATCCTGTACATTAAAGGTTGCTAATTCACGTAGGAGAAGGGAGGCTAAATACAGTGGGCATGTGGTTGAACCACTTCTGTTTAAGAGAGCTGGGAGAAAAAAACACATCAAATCTTGTCAAAGTCTGCAACCAGTCTTGGTTGGAGTTTAATGTTTTTGAACTGTTTTATGAACCAGTGAATTTTAAAATCCATGCAAATCTCACTTTTCTTTAGTTCCATGAAGCCTGGCACAAACTTATGGAATGGCTGGAAGAGTCGGAGAAATCTCTGGACTCAGATCTTGAAATTGCAAATGACCCTGATAAAATAAAAATGCAGCTCGCACAGCATAAGGTGAGTCGTGAAATGCAAAGTACCAAATCAAGTGTAGGTAAGTCTATCAGCCTTGTGCTGATCAATCAGCAAAGAAAGTAGATTTGTGGCCTCACTGCAATGGAGTGTTTATTCACATCAAATTAAATGGTGTTTTAAGAGGGGCTGAATGGAAAAAAACCAGCTTTTCATAGTACCTGATATGTGGATGAATGGTTAACAATGAAGAGGAAAGACAATAGTACAGGACCTTGGAAACCTTGAAAAGCAAATTTATAGCATTTCAGAATAGGAATCTCTGAAGGGGCTTTCTTTCAGTATTTAAACCAAAAATTTACCATCCACTTATTTGTGTTGAGATTTTCCTTGTAATACTGCAGGATTAATTAAAAACTGTAAAATAATCTCGTATTTTGATTGGCAATTGCTTTTTATGTCAAGTGGAAATGATAATGAAATCCCCTAGAAAGTACAGTAACACCATTAATAGCACAGATGGTTTCTCTTCTTGGAATTCAAAATTCTGAAACCAGCTTTTCACAAACCAAGCTTTTTTAGGTGAAAATGTAAAAATCCCCCTCATTCACCTGGCATTTCAAACATGTAATGATAATGTAAAACTCGATAATTTTGGCAGACGCAGAGCAAAAGGAAAGGCTGAAGTACTCTTTACTTCATTTTTACTTCTCTAAAATGTCTAGAATAATATATTATTGAGGAGCAAGTGGATGAGTGGTAGAATCCTCAGAGATGTGATTGTCTCTTAAGATTTCTCATGGAGCAGTTTCATCAGAGTATTGACAGACTCTTCATTTTTCTACGTTTTGGCACATATTTACTTTTTATGTCAGTTTTATTGTTCTCTATTTACTCCTATGTTTTCATTCTGCACAATATCCCCAAGAGTTTACCTAACTAAGTTTTTATTTTTACTGTAGCTTCTGGTGATTACTTTTACCTCCAGCAAGTTTTGTCATGTATATTAATGACTTGTTACTGCGTCAGTCTGCGGGAAGGCTGACTGTTGGTCAAGCAAAAGTAGTTTACCTGTGTTTGGTGTTAAAACTTTTAGATAAAACCTACACTGACATTCTGTTATGCTGACTCTGCGATTTCAGTTTGTTTTGGGATTGCTGCTGTTGCCAGAATTTGAAGTTGGTGATGGGAACTGGCAAGGGGGAATCTCGCTGTTGGGATAGTCTTTCTTGTCTCCTCTGACTCCTAATCTTCTAATCCTTTCTCTCCTCTCTTCTCATTATATACTCGTATATATATACTGACCTCACGAGTATAGTCGACACTTTGTCACTTTGCTTTGAGGTCCTTTCAGAACTATCTTCTACCTGTATTCTTCTCCTCTCTTCAGAAATTATAAACTTGATATTTACCTTATACCTACAGGTTTTATGAACCCAAGCTCCCTCACATGGATTGGCAGACTCATCCTTTCTGTCACTGATAGAGCTTCTTTCATATAAAATGCCTGCAGAGCATTTCTGCTTGAGTTTCTTGAATCTCATTAAGGAATGGGATGAAATGTGGTACAGGAACATAAGGATTGAAACTGGTGATGTGGAGGAAAAAGATCAATGTGTGTGACGGGAGGGAGTTCTGTGAACTTTGTGACTTCAAACTTCAAACACCACCCCCTCAAGAAATCAACTCAATTGTTTTTTAATGAGTTGTCAAACCTCCCAGCACTGCAATGTCCTTCCTTGTATTTTGAGTCTTTTCCTTCCACTCCCACATATACCCCGTGCCTGTCTTTGTCTTTTCTGTCCAGCCTTGAAGGTTTCCTTGCTCCATTTAGTTAAGGATTTTGCTGTTCGGATTGAATGTGTGCTGTAAGCAGTAATTTGGATTCGCTTTTTGCCAGCTGTTACTGCCAAAAAAAAGTCCCTGAAAAAGAAAAGCCAAGATAATGTTTTCTCTCTCACTCATATCTAGTGCGTTGCCAGGGACTTTTGGGGGTTATTCATGGTCTGTTTATCAGAAATTTTTTTTTCATTTCTAGGAGGGAGCAATGGAAAAAACATTATTAGGTCACCCAGTCTATTCCTGTGCTAATGCTGAGTGTTCTTTACAGTAAATTTATATGAACCTGGCTAATTTTATCTGTATGTGCCCCTCTTCCTTAGAAGGAAGATAGCTAGATGAGCATAATCTCAGTAATTAACTTACTTGCCTGTTCCTGGCAGCTGAAACTAAAATCTACTTTCAGTTACACCTCTGTGAAATCAAATAAAAGTAGGTATGATGTAGTCTCTCAAGGAAAGAACTGACTGCAACCCTACTGTCTTTTGGAAGTGTTCCTTTATTTAATTGTTTATCAGTTGGTTAATTCCTCTGTGGTATCAGATGAACTGTGTTTCTGTGTGTTCCTCTGTGCCTGTGGAAAGCTTCCAAAGGGTCTGTGCAGAAGGACCTGTCAGAGCTGGCACACAGATGCAGCTGCTGAGTCACTGTCATTGTTCCAAGTCCCTGGACACAGAAACCTACTGGTGATCTTGATTTCTAGCACAAACTGAGTTAAGGGGCTGCCACCTGACTTCTTGTGCCTGGATCTACACTTTTGGCATACAGTTGTTCCCAATGATAGTATTTGTCAAGAGAGTTAAAGGCTTGTGGTTGGAGGTTTCCCAGCTTGCCCATGTTGAGCTAAATCAGAATAACATTTGTAGTTCTTGGAGAGCTCTATAAGTGTCTTGAAATCTTAGTTTGTAAGAATGTAGTGTGAAGAATGCTCAGTTAATGGCTCCCAAAGTAGCAGTTCTTTCACATTCTTCTACCAGGCACCCCTTGCTGAAATTTGGGAACGTTATGGTAGGACAGGAATCATTGCCCTCACCGAAGAAGGGATTTTGTGGAAGTTATTCCAGTAGGCGTAGAGCTATATTCCCAGAGAAGGACAAAAAGCAGGGGTTTGCTAGTGTCAAGCCCCACATAATTTCAGGTGCACTGTGGCACTAGCACAGAAATTTTGCAGTAAGTTTAAAATATTCTTGTAGAAACATTTACAATTAACATTGCAAATAGTATGCCAGAGATTAATTAACAATGGCCTGTAAGCAGTTAATGATATATGTTTTTTTTTCTTTTTCTTCCATATGTGTAGGAATTCCAGAAATCTCTTGGTGCCAAACATTCTGTGTATGATACCACAAATAGAACTGGGCGTTCCTTGAAAGAGAAAACCACCTTGGCTGATGACAATTTGAAACTTGACGATATGCTGAGTGAACTAAGGGATAAGTGGGATACAATTTGTGGAAAGTCAGTGGAAAGGTAAATGAAAACTCACTAATTATTAATCAAATAAGAGAAATGCTTAGGAAAATGCTTTTGGCTTCTGTTTTGGATTTTGTTGTGTAAAAGTACAACCAGAGTGGCTAGCTTGTTTGATAATTAGGAGCGCCAAAGCAGTAAAATACTGTAAATGCATACCTTCCTGATTGTATGGAAGAAGGGTAAGGGGAGGGAGGGGAAGGAAGAGTTATTTAAAAAGGGAAACTGATTTGAAGTTCTCTGGAGATGCTGATTGACAGCTAGCTGAACATGAGCCTGCAGCGTATCCATCTGGCCAAGTAGGCCAGCGGCATCCTGGCTGTATCCGCAATAGTGTGGCCAGCAGAACCAGGGCAGTGATCATTGCCCTGTACTCGTGTTGCAACCTGCCCCAGAAGGGGAGGGTGACCCAGGTTCTTATTAATAAATCCTTTGGGGTGGATTAGAGTGAAATGACACTGAGTAATCGGTGTTTGTAAACATACATATGTAGGGTTTATTTTAGAACAATTTTGTTTCGAAGGTAAACAGGTATGTTACTGTTTTGGGTGTTATCATCTGTAGCAATATAACAACATTAAAGCATAGCAGTATAGCACTACTAAAGCACATCGATATTAAAGCACCTATAGCAATAAAGCATAGCAATATAGCGCTGTAAAGCGTGGTAATACAGCACTATTAAAGCATAATGATATTAAAGCATAAAGACAGTACTTTAAGAAATGCATAAGGAAGAGAAAGGGAAAGAAAGGATAAGGGAGGAAAGACTTACATATAGTCACCACCCACGGGATCCAGGTATGAAACTTGGTAGTTGCACCTTCTGTGTCAGTTGGTTGAAGTGGTGGTCTTGATCCGCTGGGGCTGGGGGAAGCCCCCTGCCAAAACTCAAAGATGTTAGGAGTTATTAAACACTTCTAGCTCAGGTGAGAACGCCTTGTACCTCCGTGGGGCAGGGTGCTTTACAATGGATAGTGTCACGGGACATGTCACTGAGTCTCTGACATCTTCTAAGACAGCCGCAGCTGCCTATTGTGTCAGCATCAGTCAGGGTCCATCATGGTCTGATATTTGAGATGCACAGTCCAGGCTAGATGTGCAGAGTTATCATGTAAAGGGATGACATTGGCATGATAAGAGGGATTCTCCCACTTGGCAGGATCTGCCTCTTCTTAGCCTCTTCCCTTATCTGGAGGTCCAGTTTGTAGCTTCAGTATACATCTGCACCTAGGATGGCTGGACAGTGGCACCCACTTACCTGATCTGAAGGTCCTTTGGCAGTATTCAGGGAGGGGTGGGCTTTGCTGGGTGAGCAACTGCTTCTTTTCAGTTTGCAAAAGTCTTTTGGTGATCTTAGATTGTGTAAGTTATTAAATGTTTCAGTCTCTGACAACTCGGCACTGGTGAGGCCACACCTTGAGTGCTGTGTCCAGTTCTGAACCACTCACAACAAAGAACTTGAGATGCTGGAGCGTGTCCAGAGAAGGGCAATGGAGCACAAGTCTGTTGAGGAGTGGCTGAGGGAGCTGGGGGTGTTTAGCCTGGAAAAAGGAGACTCAGGAGGAACCGTATTGCTCTTTACATGAAAGGAGTTTGTAGTCAAATGGGGATCAGACACATCTTTTCCCAGGTAACAAATGACAGGATGAGAGGAAACTCTCAAATTGTACCAACTGAGGTTTAGATTGGATATTAGGAAAAATTTCTTCATGGAAAGCATTGTAAATCATTGAAGCAGACTGCCCAGGGAAGTGGCTGAGTCACCATCCCTCAAGTGTTTAAAAGACGTGTGGATGTGGCCCTTTGGGGTCATGGTTTATGCTGATTGTAGTCATGCTGGGTTCATGGTTGGACTCAACCTTACTGGTCTTGTCTAACTGTCATAGTTCTATGATTCTGTTATTTTATGCTGAAAATATTTTCTTTAAGTATATAAATTATTATTTTGTGTGTGCATTCTGGGTTTTTTTTCCTATCCCAGACAAAATAAACTGGAGGAAGCCCTGTTATTTTCGGGACAGTTTACTGATGCTCTGCAAGCTCTCATTGACTGGTTATACAAAATTGAGCCTCAACTAGCAGAAGATCAGCCAGTACACGGAGACATTGATTTAGTGATGAACCTGACTGACAATCACAAGGTAATTCCCAAAATACTTCTTTAATTCCTATAGTGCTCATAAGTGTAACATTTTAATGCTGTCTTTATCTCTGACTATTCTGTAATTTTTAGAAATATGGAATAGTTTTGTAACACAATCATGTAATCAACAATAGAAAATGCTGTAAATCATACATGAAAGAGGACAACTCTTGGTGACTCACTGACACCAGTTAGCATTGAGATTGTCCATTTAATGGTGCTATCCTGTGCATTTATGAATATCATGTCATAAATCACAAGTATGCATTTATAAATGCGTGTCTATGGCAAGAGATGGCAAAAATTGTTTTACTGGAGAACTCTGGGGCAGACAGCTCTTTTTCTAGTCCATCTGTTAACCAAATTTCCAGTGCACTTACCATGACTGCTGCAGCCTTTCAGACCTATGGGGCTGCTGTATATTTATGGAGAAAAATAGTTGCAGTGCTTAAGTTATGCACAGATTTCAACTAGACCATGACCAGGAAGCTTGCATCAGAAAGCTGCAGTATTTTGTTACTGAAGTGGTTTAGGAGATGAGAGCAAGTAGGAGTTGGACTTTGCAATAGAAGTAACTTCAACAGTCATTTCTTCTGACATACTGAACTGCAAAACTGGGATTCAAAGGCAAAGGTGACACATAGGCAGAGCTCTGGAGCCTGGAAAGGTCATGAGGTGAAGGTCCCTCTATTCATCCACCACTGACTTTCAGTATCTCCTCCCCACTGAGGAGAAGATTTTGTCCCTCACAAAGAGAAAACATGTTTGGAAACATGGGTTACCTATAAAAATTAGGCTGCAATATGCTGCAATTGCTTCTGAAATCCCACTGTGTATCACAAGTTGTAGTCAGTGGCACAGTATACTGTAATTGCCTTATCTTCTTTTAAGAGCTTCCTTTATGTAACTGGAGCTTGTTCCATCTACTAATATGAACATTTCATTTGATTTCTTCTCATAATCAGTACTCTTTTGTTATTTTTTGCATAAGTATGCCTTAATGAGTTAAACATTTCAAATGTATTTGGTGGTGCCTAGGTTTTCCAGAAGGAGCTGGGAAAAAGAACGAGCAGTGTCCAGGCTCTGAAGCGCTCTGCGAGGGAGCTGATAGAAGGCAGTCGTGATGACTCTTCCTGGGTCAAAGTCCAAATGCAGGAGCTGAGCACTCGCTGGGAGACAGTTTGTGCCCTGTCAGTATCCAAACAAACACGACTGGAACAGGCTCTTCGGCAGGTAAGGAATACTACCATCACTACATGTACTCTGTGAGAACTAGTGAAAATACCTTGCAGTCTGGTTACCGAAAATTTAATTTTATTTTCACTTCATGTCATTCGCTTTCACTTCATTTGAAAATACTGATTTCTTGCTCATGCACTGCTTACCTTGTCTCTATCCCTTTACCACAGCACATAAATAGTGCCTCTTAGCATTTATTATTACCGTTATTATTAGTCTCTACCACAAATGCAAAACAAATGTTTCAAAGACCTTACCATCTAAGGAAATCACTGAAGTTGCAGTCAAGCGTGAAGGATGGTGAGGGCTATGCCCCATTCACAAGAAGCTGGAGATTGCAATCGTGCTTATGCTTTTTGTGCCTTATTGGAAAGAAGTAATTTCTGTATTGAAAACTCGTTTAGGTTGGCACCATTGCAATGCATGGTGAAACATGTTGCTGAAAAGATAGTTGTGCTGAGTGCACTCATGAGTTAAAACAGTCCATGTATGTCAATACTATCTGGTACCAATCCCAAACAAATAGATCTATCTGTATTGTTTCCAAACCTGAGATAATATGGATGTACAGCTCTCCAAAGATATACTAGCTTGGACTGATGCTAGGATGGGGCTCCTCCAATAGCAGTGTATCCACTGTGTACAAAATTCCTGCTCTGCTTTTCCCAGGGTTTGTCCAGCTCTCCAGTCTCTCAGCAGACACAATCCTAAGCTACTTCGAACTCTAATTGTATCTGAATATGACTGTGCCCAACGGTGAATCTTTCTTGTTTTCTCGAGACATAAAAGGGTCACTCTCCCACAGGCTGTCAATTCATTTTGCTTAACTGCTGATTTAGGCTGTGCAGAAAATACAGTTCTCATCTTTCCAGCTGGTCCCTGAAAGCAAAGCACCTCCCGTGTAATTTGTCAGTGTAAAGGCATGACATTCACGACTGAGCTGCAAATACACTATAAATCAGATGGCTAAAAGCATGAACAGGCTTTTAGGCTTCCTATAATTTTTTGAGAAGCATGAGCTATTCTTACAGTTATGAAAATGTAGTACTGTATATCATTGACTTTTTAATGGAAAGATAATGTGCCAGTATTGCTGTCTGATTAATGATTCTAAATGTGGGCTCAGTCTCCTTGTGTAAGCTGCAGCGTGTCTGTCAGATCCCCTTATGAGTGACCGTGACTTTTTGTATTTTAACAGGCAGAAGAATTCCACTCTGTTGTTCATGTCCTTTTGGAGTGGCTGGCAGAGGCAGAGCAGGCTCTTCGTTTCCATGGCATCCTTCCAGACGATGAAGAGGCCTTGCGTACACTGATAGAGCAGCACAGGGTAAGCAAGAAAATGCAGAGGATCCTCTTCATTCTAATTGGTCTGAGAGGGTAAAATAAAGGAAAGGAGGCAGTCTGTCCCACATAGTTATATCCACCATCCAGTGTTGATTTTTGAAACTCTTTCTATAAAAGAGAAGCTAGAAATTTAATGTAGTTGATAGTTTGATGTCCACACTGGTTTGGCCTCTTGAGTCATCTTGGCTTACTGAGGAAATAATAGGCCTTTAGAAAGTTGCTGTAAATATTCAGAGACAGATTCAAACCCCTCTGTGAAATATATGATGCCTGCAATTACAACACAGATGGCTACAGTAGCAAAAGTATATCTGTCATCTTAGCACCATTGATCAAAATGGCATATACTTTTCTCTCAAGGTCACTTGTAAATGTCAGCAGAATGTGATGTTATTGTCCATTAACCTTTTGTCATGGTGAAACAGCATGCTGTCATACTTCATATGCATTAGGTACCGAAATACTGCAGTGGCGTAGGTACTGCAGATAGTAGATTATGGGCCATCCAACTTTGCAGTAATGAAATGGGAAAATGCCTAATTAAAGAGCATAGAGGTCTTCAAACAGGAGGCTACAAACATGCACATTTAAATCCATGCAAAACTTGTTGTAAGTACAGTAGTAACAGTTCCAAGAGTGTAGTGCGCACAGTGTTACAGAACAAATTTAAAGGCATGGATTTGTTCATCATTGCTCCGAAGAAAGTTAGAACAAAACTTACGAAATGGAGAGTGGAAAAGCATCCTGTTTAAATTGAGTTTGGTAATATTATTATGCAGAGGAGTGCATGTAAGATACAACTATTTAACAGTTCCTAACTAACGAGTTTTCAATGTACTTAGTATGCAATGTTTTGAAAAACTTGTCAGTTTTAATTTAGGGTCCTGGAACTATTCATTAGCTGAGGAATGTATGTGTATATGCATCAAATGTATGACTAATGTTGGCAGTAGCAACTTAATCTCTCTGATGCACTGAAATTTGTCTTTAGCTGCCTTTCTTCCACATGTGCTTCATCAGTTCCCTTTTAATTGATTTTTTGGTCTTCTGAATAGAGAGAAAAGAATGGAGTGAAATCTTAGGTCCACTGAAATAATTAGAAAAAAAAAAATTTCTTCTTCTGCACTGTAGTTGTATTAACAAAATATTTCTGTACTAAAGTTTAAAATTGTGCTGCCAAAGCTGAAGAATAACTTGGAACCTCAAAGCAAAGCAAATTTTTTCTCTGAGAAACCCTGTCCAGCTGGGAAGGATGATTGCTAGCACAACACGACCAGCCTCGGTGTTAGATGTGGCCATACTGTACTAAAATTTTTTTAGTAGGCTTTGTAAGAAGTTCTCCCAAACACATATTCTTCTTAAAGTCTAAATAATAGAAATAGAGAAATTGTTAAGCTAAGGAAGATTATGGTACAACTGCTTTACCACTCACTCAGTCTCCTGGAATAAGTGATTTCTCCGCTTAAGCTTATAACATTAGCTCTCAAGAAGAAAAAAAAAACAGAAAATCAGGGAAGAAGGAATATGTATTCCTTTTAAAAACCATTATGTATTATAATGCTGCAATATTAATATAAAAATGCATGATTGAAATTATTTACATAAATATGAAATATATATTCCTTTTGTCACTGGGATTCTTGTAAAATAATTTTGCTGCATTTGTGTTCAGCTGTGTGTTGAAAGGTTTCTTCTGGACAATATTTTATTCAAATGGTCCATCTTTGCCTTTTTCTGATTTTATTTTCTTGAATAATGCACATGATATAGTGAATTCTACTATCTCAGGCAGAGATTTCTGTCACTCGTCCTGCTCTCTGGGGACTGAGATCTATAGTGGGTTAATACACTGCATTGTTGAATGAGAAGCATCCCATCTCCTCTCTTGTAAATGTGCCTGTGTCACTGGGTTGCCACAGAGCTCAACACAATTAAGTGAGTTCTTACTGAGTTCATCCCTTACTGAGGGAAAGCTTAATACACTGCAATGCATCATAGATTTAATTTTTGAGATATTCTAGTATAGCTAGGCAGGGGAAACAATGTTGTTGCTCATTCTCCTCCTGGCCTTGGCTTATTTTGGTAATCTCATTACAACCCACTTCAAGTTTTCCAAAACTATATTTTTATGAGAGAAGGTTTGCTGTTAGGATTGGGTCTTAAACTCTGACAATAATTTAAGCCTAAATCAAAATCAGTTAAAAATTAATCTCTTTAAATATGGAGCCTACCTATGCCAGACTTCTAGAACTAAGTAGAAGAGATTGTCTTTTACACTTTTATTTCACAATAACTTCGTAGTTACTTTGTAAAGGCGCAGGATAATGTCATGATGACTTGTTGACTATTTTTACAATGTTTTGGTGATTTTGAATTTTCTAGGATCTGACTTGGCTCAAAAAAATTCAACTAGGCACTGAGAGATGTTGGCAGTTCCAGTTAAGGGTTCTCATGAAGACACACAGACTTACACGTAACATTTAGGCAGAATAGTAAAACCATTGTACTAATAATAATTAACTGAAAAAAAGAAAAAAAAAAAAAAATAGAAAGCAATGCAAGGTATAGAAAGGATGGGAAAGTCCTCCTCCATTTTTTTTTCTGTTGTTTCCCCCCTGCACCCAGTTGTAGTCCTGCCATCATAAGAATAACAATGGCTACGAGCTTGGATGCCTAAAACTGTAAACATCCTTTTGCTTTTACGAGATTTATCCCACATGGCAGCGCCTCTGACAACAGATGGTTAATTAGCTGTCTCTGTTCTTGCTGTGTCTCTCCCCCTCAGCTGCTGAGTTTTCACATTTGTGTTAGTTTAGTATGGCTGCTCCTGAACTCCTCTGTCATCTTGTCTGAGCATGTAATTATAGTTGGACATTTCCAGCCTCTGCTAGGAGGTTGATAGTTTATTATGAAGAATTACTGTAACTGACAAACCATGTAATTGAAATGTTGCCAATGTGATTCTAACTGTCATATAATTCGTTTACAGCACTTCTAAATGCTGTGATTTTTCTTTGTGTTTTTCAATAAGGGTACACGTCTTCCAAGTATTTAGAGAGTGGTAGGCTTTTAAGGAGTGGCAAGCTGAGATAAAGGTTTTAGACCTGTGTTTAGTACTTTATGTGGAATAGGTTTTTTAAACATTTTAAGCTTTTCTCATGCAAATTAAACTTGCCTTTTGCAAGTTGAATGTTTTTAAATAATCAAGAGGCTTGTTGACCATCCAGATTATGCACTCAAATTTCTCTTGCAAATTTTTTCAGCACCTAATTGAAATTATTACCTCTGGTTTAGGAATTTATGAAGAAATTGGAAGAGAAAAAGGCAGAACTGAATAAAGCAACAGGTATGGGAGAAGCTATTCTGGCTATCTGCCACCCAGACTCCATCACCACCATTAAGCACTGGATAACAATCATCAGAGCCAGGTTTGAAGAGGTCAGTATTTGTCAAACCATCTTCATTGCAGCAGTCCATCTTTGATTGGAATATAGCTGACAACTAATATGGTAGCTACACTGGGAGGAAAAGATCCAGCTGTTGAGAACTAAACATTTAAAATACCTATGGGGATGGATGTTAATGCTATGCTTCCCTAGGCTTTATTTCAAAACTTGCAGGGCTTTAAGAACTAAAGCAGATGGCCAAGCTTCCTTGTTTGTATGTATTAAAGGAAATACTGTCTGACACTTCCCAAGTGAGGAAAGCCAACAGTTTCTAGTTGTAAACTTAAAAGTTACAAAGGAAAAAAAATACAGGGCAAATGTGAAGGATTTTCTCATTGCATCAGAGAGGATTTCTTTCCAACATATTCTAAATCTAGAGATTTTCAAATTTTTGAAGTGGCTACAGGTAGGTTGCAGAGTGTGTACCACCCTCAACTATAAAGATGGTATTTTCTGTTTTATATTAAGTTTAAAGAAAAACAAAATACTGGTGTTAGTGAAGTATGCCTTCAAGAGTGTACACAGGAAGATGGATGCCATAGTGTTTGTTAAAATTCTTAATATGTTGCCTGAAAGTGCTAGTTACCTTGTTTAGCAGCACCTAATCCCAAATATCTGTGGAAAAAGTGTGTTGAAATGGGAATTCTGGTTACCTAGCTACCTTTAGTGATCAGCTACTACATTTAACACCTTTGATATTCAAAGGTGTTAAATAGGCCTAATATCAATAGGCCTAAGAGGTAGCTTTGGGTTTACAGTCAGTAGAGCAATTTTAAATACGTCGTGAAGAATTTCAGATGTGCATGTACTCATACATTGGTTTCTATATCCAGGTTGTAGCATGGGCCAAACAACATCAACAGAGGCTGGCAGGAGCCCTGGCTGGACTTATTGCTAACCAGGAATTGTTGGAAGCCTTGCTGTCCTGGTTGCAGTGGGCAGAGACTACACTAACTGAAAAAGATAAAGAGGTTATTCCCCAGGAGATTGAGGAAGTTAAAGCGCTTATAGCTGAACATCAGGTAAGGAATGCTAAGTGTCACGTGGTCCTCACATTTCAGCTAGGATTCTTAATCAGGTGTGAATCTCCTTAGCTATTTTTTCTCATAATTGAATTCCTTTTCAGATACTTGGTCATGTGTTTTGTATGTGTACAATGTGCTTATAGTTTATTCAATACAGAGATAAAAGAACAACCAATCAAAAATTTAGTGTCACATTGTTCTAAAAGCAAACTACAATTCCCCAGAGGAAGAAGGATAGTAATAACAAAAGAAAACCCACATGAAATATATTATAGTGCTGCCACTTTAGAACTAGTGTTGCAATGTGTGGCTCCACTGACTGGGTTTCAAAAATTTGTTGATGAACTACCAGAGGGAGCTGCTGGTGCAGTGAATGCTTACAGACTTACCCCAGCTTACGCACCAGAGCTGTCTCACTCACTTCTGTGAACTGCAGTCTGAACAGCAAGTACTCAAGAGGCAAAATTCTGTTGTATAGCACCTCACCATATACATTTAATAGAGAAGTTTGACAGGTTCGTTTTTGGATTTAGGCTTCCTTTACCAACCAGGCTGTAGTGGTTTTAAAAGCTTGTACTGCCTATTTTTCTTATCTACAAAACCTTTAATTGTGTCTATTTTGTGAGTTTGGCATTTTAAGTGTCTTTCTGTGCCTTTCTTTGTAACTTTGTTGTTTTGCTTTTTTTATATGTTTTTCATTCCTGTGGTTACTTTTGTGTATTGTTAATTAATATCACCTCTATCTGATTGTAGACATTCATGGAGGAAATGACCAGAAAACAACCTGATGTGGATAAAGTTACAAAGACCCATAAAAGAAAAGCACTTGAACCCAGTCCAGTACAATCTCATATTCCTGTCCTTGATAAGGGGAGAGCAGGCAGTAAGTAATGATGTATTTTGGGGTGGGTCACACATACCTTTTCTTTATCTATAAAATTTACAGATTGCTAATAATCTAATAGGTTTGATTAGCTTATAACGAAACAGGGTGAAATTCTCTTGGTTGATTTTTCTGATTATCTCTTATTTTTCATTGTGAGGAAATTTCTCATGGCAGACATGTATTTTTAAATTTTGTTCTAATCTTCACCAATAGCTGTTTTTAAAGCATGAAGCCTTTCATGTGCTATGAAACTTGCAAGAGCAAGTCCCCGTTGAGTTTTTGCAAACCTACTGTTATCTGAAAGTGCAAACAACTTCACATAAAGGTTTAGTGCCAAAGTTTGCTGTCTCTGTCTATGGAATTATATTAATCCAATAAGAAGTGTATTTAGTGAAGTTGAATGGAAAGTGAATCAAGTGAGGAAATTGCTTTTTGTATTTTTAGATATACTTACCCATTGTATTTTATACTTACTCATACAGGGAACCTGCTTCTAAAATGAGGTTGTTTACTTTGCAACTCTTAGAGATTTACAAAGATTTAATTTAACCCCTGTAGTGGAGCCACTATGAGCTGCTTCTGCCTAGGCAAAAGCAACACTAACTACCGTTTGGTCGTTCCCCAAAATTGGTAAAAAAGAAAAAAAAAAAAAGGAAAAATCCCATTATATGGAATCATATCACAGTATGATCTCCTTATTTGGGACAGGAAGGAGTAATTTTAGAAGGGACAATTACGCTTCATGTGAATGTTTGTTTTGTTTGAACTGTGTGAGACTTATGCATTTTATAATGTTTTAACAGGGAAGCGTTCCCCAACACCAGGCATCTATCCATCAGCAGCCCAGGCACAAATTGAAACCAAGAATCCACGGGTAAACCTTTTAGTCAGCAAATGGCAGCAGGTTTGGCTTCTGGCCTTGGAAAGGAGAAGAAAACTTAATGATGCTTTGGACAGACTTGAAGAGGTCAGAAAAAGACTGTACAGAATATACATACATATTGCATAATATTCTTTACCCTGGGTTAAATTGTCAATGCTGTAAACAACTTCCATATTTGTTGTATTATACTGTATGACACAGCTGACTGAAAACACTGTGATACATGTACTGTAGTGTGCTTTAAAGGCTGTCATCCTCATTTTAAATGAGGAGAGTTAAGAGATTTTAAATGTTTATGTAGGTCCTCAAAGAACTAGTTATTCCACAAAACACAGATGGTTTCTATCTCATTGATGTTCTAGACTGATGGATTTGAGCTAAAAAAAAAAATTCTTTCTGTTTTTTATTAAGCTGAGAGAGTTTGCCAACTTTGATTTTGATATTTGGAGGAAAAAATACATGCGATGGATGAACCATAAGAAGTCTCGTGTGATGGACTTCTTTAGGAGGATTGATAAAGATCAGGATGGAAAGATTACAAGACAGGAATTTATCGATGGAATTCTTTCTTCAAGTAAGTTTTAAAATTAATATTATGTTGAACTTGGAACAAACATCTCATGAAGTCTTATTGTCTATATCATGTACATTAGGATGTTTATTGTGTTAAAAGGTCACAGATTTCCCTTTTGAATTTATTAATTATTATTAATTTATAATTATTTTACTTGAAAGTATTTATAGATTCTAGAAACTCTTGTTCTTTTACATTGTGAATCAGGTTACAAATGTCAGATTTATATTATTGTCTAGCTAGTAGTTTACCGGTTTACTGGACTTGGATTGTTATTCCTACAGTACACTAGCTGCTTCAACAATTACTTTTCATTGATTAATAGTAAAATGTACCACAGTAGTAAAATGAACCTACAGATGATTTTCAAAATCAGTTCATATGATCATATGATCTTTATCAAAGATCTTGCATGGGATAATTTTAATTATAGAATGAAACCATGTAATTTTTGAAACCAGTGTTTCCATAAACCATGACAATATTCATATACCTATAAAATGAGGGTCAAAATGCCAAGCAATCAAACTAGGAAGGGACTTTCCTAGCTTTCCTGATGGGTTGGTGTGCATTAGTTATGCACAGCTGGTGGTAACGTAAGTCTTCCACATCATGTCTGTATGTGATCATGTTTCCTTTTAGCAACAGACTCATAACAGATAAGGGCCTACTTCTTAAAATAATCCTTTATCTTCATATCACTTTTGCTTTCAACAGTGAACATTGGGAATTGGGCTGCTTTTAGCATCTCACAGTTACTCAGCAGGAGAATATTGTAGTCTGTATATTTTCCCCCAACTTTAGGAAATGCAATTACATGGACATTACTGTTTTTCATGAAGTGACTGAAACTCATAGAAAAAAAAACCCAAATCACCGAAAGGTTAAATAGCTTACTCATTTAACTCAGTTGGTATCGATGTGTTATGACTGCTAAACCCTTGTGATATAATCCCTGTTCATCACCTTTAAATTTCCTTTGACCATTTCATTGAAAATCTCTGTGTGGGTTAATATTCTGCTGCAGTGAACTTCATCTAAAGAAGGATTTCATGAAACATCATTCATGCATCTGCATTGGGAAGGCCTTGCATTCCAGATTTAATTAGCAGTGAAATGCCTGCTTGACCTGCCCTCACTAATAATTTGTCTTGTTAATTTGTGGTATTATATGCACTTTGAAGGTCAAAATGTTAAAAAAAACCCCCAGACATATATCCTAATCTGTGCCCTCACTTCTGTGTCTGTCTTCAAGCCAAAGTATGATACTCATTTTAATCCAGTACCTGGGTAACACTAGAGATCCAGATTGGGGTTTTTTTGGAAAGATTCCTTCACTGTTTTGAATGGCCTTGGTTTTTTTGATAGACATTATCTGTCACCAAATGACCTTTTAATATTTATAATAAAGCCTTTCATTGTAATGGGTTTGAAAAGCCAAAAAATTTAGCTTTTGTTGTTATCTTTGTCTTGCAGAGTTCCCAACAAGCCGACTTGAGATGAGTGCTGTTGCAGACATTTTTGATAGAGATGGTGATGGATATATTGACTATTATGAATTTGTAGCAGCTCTTCATCCAAATAAGGATGCATACAAGCCTCTCACAGACGCTGACAAAATTGAAGATGAGGTACATCCTCTGCTTTCTTAGGTTCCATTCTGTTCTGCTGGGGTCACATTGTTTAATAATTCATTTTACTTTCACTCCTTTATAATTTGAAGTTTACTAGGTACACAAGTCTTTAGAAATGTGATATTTACAGTAAAGTAATTATCCAGTTGTGGTTTTTTGCAGGTTACAAGGCAGGTAGCGAAATGTAAATGTGCAAAACGATTTCAAGTGGAACAGATTGGAGATAATAAGTACAGGGTAAGTCTTTTAAGGACCTCAGTTCTTTCAGCTTTCTTCGTATGACATGGTTTATGCAAGGAATTAGGCTATATTGATTTATAGGAATCTTCTATGGCAATTATATGTTTCCTTTAAGATTGTCTACATTTTATGTTTTTTTCTTATCAGAACACATAGACTAAAAATATGGAAAAATGCTGCTACTTGTATTTATTTTTGCTGAAACTACTGAAGCTGGTTTTAATTATAAGGAATTTTTAAAAGCTAACTGCATGCATACATACACACAAAAATACATACAAACACTGCCTCCTTAGAAGCCAGTCTTTTTGCCTGAATACCCAAAGTGTTCAAACTGTAGCTGATTTTCTATTAATTTAATGAAAACAGTGACTGTTGTTTTCTTGTGGTACTGTGTTGTACTTCAAAAATGTTTTACCAAAGTGTCTTCAATCACTTTTACCCTCTCTTGGCATTTTATTGGAACACACATACTTCTGAAGTTTTAGGCAAAGTGTTAGATATCTGCAGAATGACTTTAGTGACGAAAAATAAATATCACATAGTGGAAAAAGATCTGCTATCCCTGGATCCAGTAACCAGAACAATTTCAAATGGAATATGCGATATTCAGCTAAGAGAGATTAATAGATACTTTTAGATTATTTTAAAAGACACAGAAACAGCAATGGGAAGAAAACAGAGGCCTTGAATATTTTCCATATTCAATCTCTGGATGGCTAGCTACCTGCTCGTCCCTCAAGTAGATACTTTATTTAGAGTGTCTAATGTGTTAGTTTGCATGTGTTTCTAGAGCCATGTAGAGAATTTCCTGTAAACTAATCGTGTCTTTCTTCCATTTTTCATTTCTTATCAGTTCTTCCTGGGAAATCAGGTATAAACCAGTGGAATGTGTTATGAAGTTTTTTTTTCCTTTTTTTTCCCCTTTTTTTTCTTTTTTTTTTTTTTTTTTTCTAACACATAGTGATTTAAGCTTGCAATGGTCAGTCTACTTGCCATCCTTTCATCTTCAGCTAATTCATTGCTGGTCAGATGTGGTATTTATTTAAATGCTATGGAGCATTCCTTGTCTCAGGATCCCTCCTCTATAATCCCTCACCTGCTTTCTTTGGCAATTTTCTCATTAAGGAGATTACTTTTAAAGGAACCAGATAATGGTCAGCAGCAATTCCCACAGCAAAAAACCTTGAGCATTTAAACTGTAATTATAGAGATTATTATTATCATCTAATCAGTTTTCAGTTTTATACTGGAATCCTTCAAAATTCTGTAATGTCTTTTTTGGGCTATTAGATTAAAGGCTAATTGTGGTAAACAGATCCCAGAGTCATATCACTTATTTATTGCAAATTACATAAACACTTTCATCTTTGAAAAAAAAAAAAAAAAGGTAGAATCAAGCAGAATGTTTAAGAACCTGGCTGATTTGTGGTATTTTATGTAGTAACACAGTGAATCATTAACTATGTATTTTGGAAATAGGCAAAATAAACTTGCTGTTCCAGTTTAGACTACTCCCTCTCTCAAAGTGTTTTCAAAGAGCAACGGCAAGTCTATAATGTACTGGAGCTGTGTTTAAGAATACTCTGTGTCAGCTGGGTCATTGGTGAGTCATACCAAAGCAGTAGAGGGAGGAAATGCTACCCAGTGCTTACTTATTCTTGTGGTACATACTGATGCACAGCCTCCAGAAGTGCTAAATCGTATTTGTCTGGTAAGAGTGAAAACACCTTATGCAAACTAGATACCATTAGTATCTTATGCTTTTAAAAAGGCAATAATATGTGTAATCCATTCTGGATATGTTAGTGTTAACAGCATTAGCCATTTTAAATCTAAAGATTTTGAAAATGTGGGTGCGCTCTTATTTACTTGCAAAGGCTGTTGAAGTATAGAGGAAAGCGCAGAGCAGTGGATAATTTTACCACATGCCTCAAGCAGTATATCTAAACAATAATTGAAAATGTTTTTCACATATAGAACAAGTCTCTTTTTTAAAAGACTGTTTGAAATTACGTTAATCCTCTTATCTGCCATCTGTACTCTCAGATCTGGGAAACATACAGCATTTCTTAAGAGTATCTCTTACTGGTGCAGAGCAGTACCATAGTAAAAAGTACCTACAGAAATTTAGCTGAGTACTCTCTAGTGACAGTGATGTTATAAGGCTGTTGTCAAGAACAAGACTTTTTGTAGCTTAAACTCCCTTATGCTTTTAGTCTGATTATTTGAAATAATGTTAAATGTGTTTAAAGAAAGTTGGTATCCGGGCTATTTTAAGAAGGAAATTACCTGAGTTACCATTAGAAGAAATGCCTTATGTTACTTTCCAGGAGCCCCCCTGTCTGAATTAACCACAGCTAGGTGGGCAGTTTCCAAAGGACATTGCATTTGACCCTTGATATAGTTGCCTGATGGGGTCTAACTAAAAAATTAAGCTGGGATGGGAAGAAAAATAAGGAAAAGAAAAAAGATACTATCTTCAGAATCTTGAGAAAATTCTAGATAGGAACAGGCCAATAAAAGTAAACAGCATCAATTTGGATGCCATTTTTAAAAAACTTTAATCTCCATACATAAAATGGTTGTTTCTTTGGCACATATTGAATGCATTATTAAAAAACCTTTACAAATTATGATCACATGAATGTTCTTAATTAACACAAATACAATTTATTATTGAATTAAGCAGCGAGCTTGCTTTTGTTTGGTTCCTAAAAGTAATAGTCCTTTAAATTTATTCTCTCTCCTTGGCTTAAGTAGTACCAAACAACTAAAGTCATCTAACAAGTAGGGAGCACGTTTGTGTGGTTTGCATTTAAAGCATTTCAGTCCCCTCACTGGAGCAAGTAGGTACAGTTGAATTATGGCCAGCCTTCTCCAAGGGTCAGAGATTGTTTTAAAGAGGTACATTCAACTCCTGTTGGTTTTAGTGAGTGCTCTGCATGTTTGTGTGAGAGTACACTGCACTTAACCTGATGATCTGGTATCAAAATATTTTAGTAGCATTGGCTAAAAAGTACTGAATCTGGTTAGTTTTCTTGAGACTGAGGTCAAGACTTTGGTCATGTTTTCTTCGATCCAGTTTTGAATGGAGGTGCTGTGTACAGGTTTTGTAACACAAGTTTCAAGAGCAAAATATACATTAGGCCTGGCCATCAGCCCAAAGGAAGAATGGACTCATACAAGAACTTAGTACCAAACAGGTTACTGTGCATCTCTGAAGTGTGAGGAACCTTGATATGTAGTCAGAGGAGTGACAAACAGTTCATAACAAAGGACAATAATGATAGCTATCAATCACTCATTGCTTCTTTAATGTTCCTTTTCTCACATGCACCTTACTCTAGGTGAGCAGTGTCAGTGCTATATCTGAAAATATTCCTGCAAATGAATCAATTCATAGAACTGTGCAACACTCATAACACACTGAATTTCCAGCCCACATACTGATTGTTTGAAGTGATGCTGCCTTCCTTTCAGCTGACATCATTAAAAATCAAGACTGTTGCAGAAGAGAGTATGCTTAAGATTTTATCAGTGAAATAATGCAAATAGATCTTCATTAATTTGCACAAAAACAGACTGTAACCAATTAAATAATGTATTACTAATTTTGCTTCCTTTATGACCTCAGACATTTGAGAATCAAGCATAAAATTAAACCTGAGATTCTTTCTTAACATCCTGCCATCTTCTTTGGATTAGTGCAGTGCCATCTGATATGAAATCTTAACAGCTTTAATAATCTGCATAAATAAATTGATTTTTTTAGCATTTACTAATAATTAAATATCAAAATAAACTTTTTTAAGTGTCTGATTTTTAACCTATCAGTGCTGAACTTCATCTGAATGACTGAGAACCTCAGACTATTGTTTGATTCTTATTGCAGTTTGGTGACTCTCAACAACTGCGCCTGGTTCGTATCCTAAGAAGTACAGTCATGGTTCGTGTTGGAGGTGGCTGGATGGCACTCGATGAGTTCTTAGTGAAAAATGATCCTTGCCGGGGTATGTAACACAACTCTCAAAATGGACATGCTGATTATTATTTGAATGCAGTCACCATTCATTGTCTCAAGATGGAGATTGACTTGTATAAAATGCCAGTTCTTGTAAACATCATCTCACTAAATGTCCCATTTTTGTAAACTTTAAATCCCATGGTTGAGATCCTCTTTGGTTGCACTGATGTATGTCTGGAATAACTGTGGTGTCTTCTGCACAGTTCCTTCAGTGTTAGAGTGGTCTAATTAAGAATTGAACTTAGCCCAGATAGAGTTTATGGCATGTAAGCTGCTTGTATGACTTGGCAGAAGTGGGACACAGAAATTTATAATAAAACCTTCTTAGCAAGAGAGAAGTTTTGAGGCAATAAATCAAAATAAGGCAATTTAATTGGTGAGTAACACCACCACCACCACCATAAGAAACTTCTCTGGCCAATAGCTGCGCCTAGTCTTTCAGTCTCTACCTTTGTAACCCTTTCTTTCCATTGGCATTCTCCCCATAACCACTTTGCAGAGCCCTTAGCCTTATGCAAAGAAAGTGGAAAATGTTCTAGTCTGGAGGACACTGTGCTCCAGAGAAGCAGGGAGCGCTCTATCACTGTGCACTCCAGAGCATTGTATCAGATGCATTATATTCCCAGTACACAGCAATGGAAAGCTCAGTTCTGTAGTGGGAAGTTGGGCTCTGTCTGGCACTGTTCTTGGAGGAACAGTTGGAGATAGGAAAGAATCCATCTGTGAAGGAAGTGGAAGAGACACAAGTCAAATAGCAGCCAGAATATGAAGAAAGTAATGTTCACTATATTCAGAGTGACCTGATGTTCTGTAGCTAGGTAATACCATCCTGTTAACCAGCAGTTTTAAATTACTGCATTTTTGCTTCTTAGGAGTTCTGTAGAATGTCATAATAATTAGTATTGTAATAGTGGGAGAACAGCACAGAAGGGTTCAGGAGTGGTAAATGAGCTAGTGAAGACAGTGACGTAGCTGTTCTGTAGACCTTCCTCCTGTATCAACCATCTTACATAGCTTGTACTTTGGAAAAAGCTGTCTTTTATAGACCTTGAGAGAGTGGAGAGCTTGTATTTGTAGCAGTTGTCATGCTAAGTCAAGGATGTTAAATCCAAAAAGAACCTACCATAAAACCCCTATTAAATGCAAAATGAACAGAACCCTTGTAAGGACTGGCAGTGTGCCATTAAGACCTACAAACCTTTGTCTACAGGCTTAAAAGGTACCCACAAAATTTCTTATCATGTTGAAACCCATAACATCATAGTATCATGAAAGTACTGTCATAACTTTACAATGACATATCTGACTTTGTTAGAAGGGTTTAAAATAGTCCTTTTGCTTTCCAATTTATTGCATATATTGTTTATTAAATGTAAGAATGATATTACATTTATTTGTGTTACCACAAGTCTACCTGAAATTTAGCACCTGATTTTGCACTATGGAAAAGTCATTTATGCCTGCAGAGCCATCCTTACATTATAGCTTTCTATTCTTATTCCTCAAAAGTGCAGGGTAGTAAAAAATTAAATGGGTCTCAAAAGATCTGACTTCACTGAAGGGTTAACGTGGTTAGTTCTGTTGTATCCCAAACATTTTTCTCAGGCCTATTGACAGGTAGACTGTTGCAATTTGTTCTTGGTTTGACTCTGAGAGATACAATACTTTATAACTGTCTAATTTATTTATTGGAATTCCTTATTACTTTCCTCAGTATTGTCTATAGTACTTTGTTCCTTTTTCTTGGAAATATGTGAGCAGATGGCAGGACAGTGGGTCTAAAGAAACACCAAGCTCTATAAAATCGTCCAGATGCTGGACATCGTACATTGGTGCCTAATCCTAGTTTGGTTGAAGTCAGTGATGCAGATTAGTCATGACTGTCAGTGGTACAGGTTCAGACCTTTCCTTGACCTCTTCACCTAGCAAATCTTAATTTCCACCAAGTGCTCCTCATGTATTCAGATAAATCACATTTTAAAGAACTGTTGTCATAAGCAGCTTTAAAAGTATTGCACCTATTGATATAAAATCACTTTAGCTTATATTATTTCTTTATGTCAGCAGATAAATACTGTTGTTACACAAGTATATTTGGGACTGTAGCTGTTTGTCCAAGCACTATTTCCTTTTGGCATAGGAAACCTTTGAGAACTTGCCTCAGAGTACTTAGAGACAGCTTTTGCTCAAGTCCTGTCTTTTAGCCTGGTGCTCCAAGTCTCTTGCGTATGCAGCTGCTGTACTTGATTTCTTCTCCTGCTAACGATTTTCTTTAATGTGACCCATGTCCTGTGTCATTTTTTCTAGTTCATCATCACGGGAGTAAAATGTTACGTTCGGAATCAAACTCTTCAATTACCACTCAGCCTACTATAGGTTGGCAAACCCCTCTCTTTGTCTCCTTCTCCTCTTCTTCTCTCCCTTCATTTCCTTCCCATCTTTTTAAGAGATATAAATACATATATACTTTTAACAGTGTGCTTCACCCATCATATTTAGCTTAACATGTTCCTACATGGGCTGGTGCTTTGCAAGCTAATTTTTTGACACGCTTGAAGAGTGTTTCAAAAACAATTGTCATTCACACTGACATAGTTAAATGCTAACATGTCTTGCATCTATTCATGCGGAATATCCTCTCATATGTGTGTTTGTATGTGTGTGTGGGTGCTTAGCCACCAATTACCTCATCATAGTTTGGGTTTTATGTTCATCATTGCATGTTGCCAAACTACATAACTTCTTAGTTTTGAATAAATATATTTGCTGCTTTCCTGTAAGTTGTACTTAGCTATTTCTCCTGGAACATCCAAGCAAGTATTATTTATTATAAATAGCTGTAGAGATAGCAAAACTGCTCATCAGGTTGTGTCTATGTATTAATAGTTGGTTGATTAACAAAGATTTAGCACGTTGAGCATTCCATTATCACGCTGACTTCCTTTGACAGTGGTTCATTCCTGCTGGCATAAAGTATTAGAATAAGCGAGTTCTGCACATAACTCTTCTGTGTCCAAAATAAATGCATTACACAGTAATGCATTTTATTTATTGTTAAAATGTGTTGGAGTTGGCATGGCAAAAATGACCATAAACAGACTTGTGACAATTTTCATATGTGATTAAATGGAACACCTTTCTTTGCAGCTAAAGGGAGGACAAATGTGGAGCTGCGTGAAAAATTCATTTTGGCAGATGGTGCCAGTCAGAGCATGGCAGCTTTCCGACCAAGGGGCCGTAGATCACGACCCTCTTCAAGAGGTGCTTCTCCAAACAGATCTACTTCTCTGTCAAGTCAAGCTGGCCAGGCAGCTGCCCCACAGGCAGTTGCTACAAGTACACCAAAGGTAAGGAGAAGTGTACAGAGCTGCACTGGTTAACAGATGGGGTATAGATTGAATTTTTGGTTTTTTCCTTGCTCCAGTAATATTGGTGCTTTCCCTAGCTCATAAGGAAGAAGTATCTCCATTTTATTTCATAGTCTGGGGAGGATCTGAGAAGTCTTTTCAGTATATTTCCTCTACTCTTTGTTTGCAATATGGGAATAGAAGTCGTCTACATTTAAGTTGCCACATGAGCTAACTGGCAGTTTAGGAATTGCTCTGAAAGAGCGACAAACCTCTCTGTTTTGTTTAAAAAATGAGCTCTGCCATCTCTTTTGTTGAGAACATTTGTCATTAACTTAGTTTTTATATCTACTATGAGATCTCCCTATGAAAGCCTGGGTATCCTTCTCCATGACATTGTTTTCCATCTACTGTCCTTCATATTTTGATTTACCATTGTTTCATACAGACACCCCATCATTTAACACGCAACTATGGTAAACCATGGTTGACAAACAGCAAAACATCAACTCCTTCTAAGCCATCAGAATCCTCAGAGTATCAAGGGTCATCTGCAGAGGTACAGTAAGGACAGAGATTCTAGTCTAATGACCTTCCTTCACTAAAACTGTCCCTTCACTAACAGCCACTAGAGTTTCAGTGCTTCAGAGCTGCAACCTCCTGTGCATATTAATGCATTGTCTTATTTTAGACCTATGTTAAATTATTTCTTCCCCTTTTTTTTCACCCCAAATATGTTTTTCTAAAGTACTTTTTTAAAAAAAGGCATTTTAATATAATTTGTGGGTTTCCTTCCTAAAATTGTATACTTTGGGTTCATAAAGTACTGAAGTAAAAAAAGTGCTTCATAAAGTCCTGAACTGTAGGAACAAGATTAATAAATCATGATCCCTAGTGCAAAACCACTAACAAAGAAATACCCATTCACTTTGAAGAAGGTGGCAAAAAAAGACTGACTTTGATATATAAGTCCTTCCAACAACTGAAAGTTTTGTTTAGGGGGGGTAATGACCAATCGTTGCTCTAATAAGATTACTATTTGATGACTTAACAGGAAACCAGCATGACTTACGTAGAAATTGCTAGTATAGCAATTAGGATTGTGCTGGCAATTAGGCTGTGTGACCAAAATTTGAAGGGGCTTGGAGCCAAAGCGTCTCCTCTAATGTCATTACAGTCAGTGAAAAGATTGCAGCTGTATCGTTGTGTCATTTGTAGGAGTTACTCTTGCCCTGGGTTAGGAGGAGGGTTTGGTGAGGGGAAAGCTTTTGCTACCACCACTCTGTTGTATCTGCTTTTCACAAATCTGCACTTTGATGCCTGTGGCTATTCCTGTGAGACCTTCTGGTGTGAAGTTTACATAACCTCAGCATGGCTTTGCTCAAAGATGTGCAATGAACTTCTCACTCCCTCCTTCTGTGCGTGTTACTTATGCACTGCAGGTGTGTCTGTGTTTACAGCACTTCAAGCACACGGGCTGTTGCTTAGAATGATTACCAGCACAGGGTTTAGTCAGTTGTCAGTTTCTAATATAGTCATGTACTTTCTTTCATCTCTTAGCTGGTAACTGCATTGAAAGATTAATTGATGGTACTTTAAAAGGATTTATAGACATGGAAAGGTGTTGTTTTCATTGGATTACAATGACAGGAAAGCAGTTGGCCTGATTTCAAGTGGGGGCACTGTATTTCTTATCTGCTCTTACAACTGCCAGTCGTTTCAGTCAGTTTCTTTTATGTAAACCACCGTGGTTTAAGATTATAAATGGAATGGTCAGGGTGAGGTAAGTTGCAATGGATTTCTGAGGCATTCTGCAGCATTTTCTGCCCAAGAGAGCAGTTATTTATTTTATAAATTTATATTTTTTTGCATTTGGGCTTAGGGCAAAACTAAAGAACAGGCTTGTTTTCCTTTTTGCACCAGTGCACCCAATGCCTTGCCCAGAGCGCAGCAGCTCCACTGGAGGTAATAGAGAGTGTTCCCTTTCTCCTTATCCTCCCAAGCAGTGTCTTTATAACAGAGATACCCAAGGTGTGGCCAGCTGAACGTCAAGCGTTGCACTTGGCTTTAAAGAAAGTTTGACATTGTGACTGCTGTTGAAGTCAGCAGACTGTCTGTTCCGTAGCATCTCAGTGTTCTTTTGTTCAGTTGTGCCAGACATGGTCTGAGCTGGCAGCTGCCAGGCAAGCTCCTGACAGGCCTCTGCTTGGTTCTTAGCTCAAAGCAGCTCCCAACACACTCCTCTGGATCTTGGTTTTCAGTACCTAATTCTACCTTCCATTGTATGGGGATCAAAGGCACAGAACACACTTCACAGTTTGTTCTTATTTTTTTGATATTTAATCAGTATTTTTGTGCTAATTACTGTGAATACTGTAGTTTTCCTCTAATTTGCATACACCTTATTTAGTGTATTATATGCATTTTGAGATACAAGGATTTAATTCTTGTGGTTTTGAAAGAAATTTTTTTATTTGGGACGGATTGTAAATCAAGAAATAATTTTTTCTGATTGTGCTTTTTGGGGATTGATTTTTTTGTTTGTTTGTTTTGGGGTTTTTTCTTAGCAAAAAGTTTTTGAAATTTGGTAGCTTTGTTTCAAATTTAAAAATATAAAGGCAAAGCAAATGTATTCATCACCTATAACCACAGTCAGAATGACACGAAGTCAAGCTATGCAGACATAAAACCTCAAGATGTACCATCAACTAATCTTATATGCTTGACTAATTATAAGAAGGTAGCTTTTTTCTTTCTTTATATGCATTGCAATACAAACAAAATTTTAAACAGACTGTTAAAATAATTTTTTTTTTTTGGTCTTTTACATTTGAGCTACTTCAAACACAAACTGCTGAAGGAACATTCGAAATTTCACATCATGGAAAATGTCCATAGTGGCTCAAATCAGTATTTAAGGTTCACAGTGAATGTTATGATGATCATATTCTAAGCTATGTAGCACCTACTACCAGTCCTTATCTTCAGCTGAAAAAAACATTTGTTTATTGTGTTTTGCTTTGCATAGGGAACACCAATTCAAGGAAGTAAACTTAGACTGCCAGGATATCTATCAGGAAAGGGTTTCCACTCTGGAGAAGACAGTGGCATCCTGTCAACAGCAGCTACCAGAGTCAGAGCTCAGTTTGCAGGTGAGTGCTTGATCTACCACTTGCTTTGTTTTCCACTTAGGAAATACTTAGGGTCACATTAGGGTTCGATGGAGATGTCAGAAGAGTGGGAAGGAGTGAAAGTCCTACTGTCTGCCCACTGCTGAGGGTGCCCATAATCAGGATGATGGTCCTCTGTTCACATGGTTGCACAGCACCTGTGTTCAGCTCTGGATGTGCAAATTCATAACTGCAATCTTCTTGACAATGCTATCTCCAGTGTATCTGCCTGAGGAACTGTGGAAGAAGCATTTACTTAAAAAGAAAGGGTCCAGTTCTTCACAGTATTCAAGTTATGCTCAACTGTGATGGAGCAAAGGGTTCATTTAATCATTACTCATCCATTACTTTTGAAAGAAATACAGGGCACAGCTATAGGTGACCTTATTAATGGAGTATCCCATAGAGATTTTTAAATCAGTATATGAAAATAGAAAGCAGTGAATCTATGCTCTTCCAGGATCCTCAGAGCAGCTCTATGTAAGGGGGAAGGATGGATGATTAGAACAGAAGATAGCTCTTCTGGCTTTTCTTCACATCTTAGGCTCTGCAAAGCATACTCAGCAGTGCTGGGAAATCCTGATCAAAGAGTATATGTCTTTTAAATTACAGGTGATTTTAAAAAATGAGCCACCTAATATTCAGTTTCAATATAGTGTTCTTCACACATGTAAGGAACCAGATTCTGAAGAACCACATCAATGGTTTTCTGTTTAAGATTCTTTGTTGTGGTTTTTTCTTCAAGGCACGTTGTCTGGGTAGGCTTTTACTTTGCCTGGCTTGCTGAGGGCTCATTTACTCAGCCCTTTGTTTGGGAGAAGGTATACTCTGCCCTTGTTTAGTTGCAGCTTTCAACTCTATGAGTTTGATTCTTTTAAAAAAGAGGAGTACACATTTAAAAATTGGGACATTTATTTGCATTTCCAAGGTGCATATACTGAGAAATCACAATAGAATGAAGAGGCCAGATACTGGTTTGGGTTTTTTTTCAATTCATAGCCGAGAAAACGGTGGGGGAAAGAAAGGCTCTGACTGTTGAGTGAAGGTACAATGCATGTCTAGTAAGTCATGGAAAGATGCCAGAATAATACATTTTTTATGAGATGTGCTAATGACAAATCAACTATGTATCAGTGTTTGATCTTGATTTTTCTTCTGTTTAGTATGAGATACAGCATTGTTTAACTTGCCTGGCAGAATTTTAAAGTTTAGTTTGTACAGTAAGGAATTTTTGGGGTTGCTAAAGGCCTAGGAAAGACAGGCACACCTTTTCCAACCTTACCTTTAATACTGATGGTTAGCTTCTCTCTTTCCAGAAACCAGAAGAACTCCAAGCAGACCTGGTAGCCGAGCAGGAAGCAAGGCTGGCAGCAGGTCAAGTAGTCGCCGAGGCAGTGACGCATCTGACTTTGACATTTCGGAAATCCAGTCTGTGTGCTCAGATATGTCAGAGACTGTTCCTGCTACAAGCAGACCAACACCCCGAGCAGGTTCTCGGCCAGGATCAGCCAAGCCTTCTAAAATTCCAACCCCCCAGAGAAGGCCACTAGCCAGCAAATCAGACAAGTCCTTGAAGAGATAATATGATTGGCTCCACTAAAGTCTTTTCCTTTTGCATTAAATATTTAAGTTCATAAGATGTAAAATATTATGTAGAAATTATTGTGAAATATCGCAAGAGGTGGATTTTTAATTCTGCAGATGGCCTTATTTGTGTATTTGTCTTCTTATTTTATGTGTATAATTTTTGTCAGATTCATTTTTGGTTTTGCCATATCCTGTGAGAAGGGGGAAGAGTTCTAATGTAAACTAACAGTTGTACACAGTAACATGTAGAAAGTACACTAAAAATAATTGCCGAATGTACAGTGTACTGAATGTACAGTAAGTCTCTGCAACCTCAGTAAAAAATAGGCCTATCACTATGTCATTAGTTAACAGTAAAGGATACCTCATGATTTTTCTTTAAAAAAGAAAAAGAGAATACTAAAAGCCAAAAGACACAATTACACGTTTTGAGCTAACTAAGCAAACACTAAAGGATGTACATCAAAACTACTACGTAATACAAACCCACATTCACAGTACCCTTATTTATACAGCATTTCTCAGAGAACTCACAGAGTTAATTAAGCACTCGCCAATAATATGATACTCCAATACTTTGCAGCATTTCTGTGCCATTGCTTTCAATGAGACCAGACACATTCTGGATATCTGAACTACTGTTCTGTAAGAATATCAATATAAAGTGCATTCATGTAAAAGTGAGGTTTTCTTTTGCTTGAGTGGATGGTAGCACTGTATCATTGAACTCATTTTGTATCAAAGCAGTTTTGCTTGCAGAAAGCTCCGAAATAAACATGTCCCTTAACTTTATTTCTATTGTATTTCTTATTTCACAGGAAGGTAATTTTCTGTGTTATGTTTTAGGGCATACATATACCATTTCAGATAACCAATAGTTACCATAGGAACACAGGTTTTCCCATTATCAGCAATCAGATTTTTGGTAGCTACTGTGTTTGTTTAATAAAACAGTAAATTGCACATATCAGATCATATGAAATTATGTATAGTTTTTGTGTGTCAACAATTTTTTTCTCCATATTAAACTTATGTCATTTATTTACCATGTCTGAAAGGCATAAAGAGTAATTCACTTGCTCTGTTAGTCAGTGAAACATTTTAGCCATCTAAGGATTCTTTGACAGGACAGACTAATAGTTCAATTTCATTGGAAAAAAGATGCAGTTTCAGATGGGAGTGCTGTAGCATGGCTGGACAGATGCTGTGGTAAGTAGTGACAGAATCCCTAGAAATTTCAAATGCCCTTTGATAATATGAGAAAACTCGGATAGAATTTGGCCAGCATGCAGACCAAATAGTCTAAACTCGACTGTTCATATGTCATTAAAGAGACATACATTTAGCAAAGGAATTTTAGAGGAGGACTGGTTTATGGTTGGTCCTGTAACATGCTGACAATGAAACAGAATCACATGCAGGTAGTGGTGATAGCTGCATCTGCTGCTAATGCTTCCTGGCAGTATTACTCAGATGACATTTTCTGAGTTGTCACAGGAGCTACTGCAGACTCACAAGTTGACTCACACAATCAGTTTATAAGAAACAGATATAATAATACTTGAAAGATAATTGAATCAATCAAAATACACTTGTGTCAGAGTTTCCTCCAACACAGAGTTTTCAAGGGTTTGTGGAAAGTTATCACTAACAGGTCCTACTGCGGCTTGACATGTTCATTTATTGCTTGGAGAAAATCACCCAGTATTGGAAATCCAAGTAATAGTAAATTAAATAGGATTAGGAATTCTGTTGAAACTCTAAATCTGTCTCCAGATGTTATATCTTACTTAATTAACTTCCAAAAATTATTTAACTACTTTAGTTCAATACTAAGAACTCCCAAACCTAAGAGACTTTCCGAAATTCTGTTCCCTGTGTTACAAAGATTATACTGACAAAAGTCTGAAAATAATCACTGGATGCTCTGTACATCTGTAACCCAAGGATGAATTAGCAGAATTTCATGGAAAAGGCATATTGTGCACTTACCAATAAGTGATAGGTAGCTCAGTTTTAGTGAACTATTTAGTGAAGAAAGAAGTGGTATTCAGTTTCCATCTTCCTATATTTAAAAAGCCTTTCTTTTTTTTGGTATCAGAATAAATGGGAAAGAGAAGATCAGTCCCACAACCAAATCCTCATCTTATTCAGTGGCATAGTTTCCACATAACCTCATCATCAGAGATGCATTTTCTCCCTTTTATTATCTTCCTTTTAGCAACAGGAGTTGATCATAAATTCACCCAACCTGCTGGATGACCATAAGTAGAAGACAACTTAGTGTGGCCTAGACTCTTATACCTGTACACTCTGTGATTCTCCTGCACAGTGAAGGAGCAGAGGTGATGGGGAGAGGAGGACTGGAAAGCCTATGGCTGTGAGAACCATATTGTTAAGTGAATAATGTATATTTAGCACTTAAAAAAGCTGGCTCAGTTCTAGGCTCCTGTACTTTTTCAGTCATTTTCAGCTTTCTGCCTTTCTGTTTTGCTGCCTTCGAACTGGGAAAGCCTTCACAGAATTTTCTGAAATCTGCAGATGATTCACTGTTAGGAGAGCTAGTGATGCCTCCTGGCCTAGGCATCCTCAGCTTTAAGGTTTATTGTTGGCCTCTTACTTACGGACTAATGTAATAGATGACAGTAATTCAGGCTTTGCCTCCAGCACGTCTCTTCACAAAAGGATAGGGATGAGGTTATATGCAATCTTAATTTAAAAATTAAAGCATTTCTTAAAAATTAAACTCTGATGCAAACAGCTGTGCCATACCGTAGTCAGCAGCAGAATTTGAAGTTACAGCTGCTGATGTTAGCTGTAGGACCAACAGGACTATCAGCACCGAGTGAGGGGCTGTGGCATTAGATGTTTGTCAGAGTGTGTGGCAAGAAGACACATTGCTGAGCAGTTGCTATTAACATTCTGTAAATAACCACAGGGATGGAAAATCAGCATTGCCTCATTTGCTGCATCTCAGTACAGCTGCCCTAACTGCTTCCAGGTGTTTCCAGTTCTTAGGTTGTGTGGTATCACCCAAGCTCATACTAGACAAGAGGTATTTACCTGGATGTTTGCTCTGACTGTAGGCTATAGAAGGGAGTGGTGATGTTTGGAGGTTTATGTCCTCGTGTAAGGTGAGTGGAATTTTACAGAACAAAGAAAGTGTGTTTCCTAATAGTTGTCTCTGCTGAATTTGAATAACCTGTTTGCAGACATGGAGGTGGGAGAGATAGTTGGCTTGGTTGCTTGCTTTTTTTCCAGTAGTGTTGGTGGGTTAAAGGCAGGTAGGTTACTCATCTCTGTATAAAAAAGAATTTCTATTTCTTAAAAAGAGGAACCCTGCAGAGGAAAAGTGAGCTTTTCAGAAATAGTGGATGAGGCAGCAGCTTAAATTCTACATAACTTGCATAAAGATGGTGCTGGTGGCTGATAGTATTGGGGTATTTTTAAGTACTTCTGTTAAGACTTGTTCAGAGTTTGGCTGTTGCAAATTAAGTGGTATCTTACCTGAAGCTAAAGGAGGCGTGGGGGTTATTTTTTGATAGTTAAGTAGTTCTTCTGAACTGAAATTGTTCAAATAGTCTGAATTGCAGCTTGGGGTGCTCAAACTATGGTTTTGTATTGGAAGGCTGAAGGAAAGCATGATGAAGGTGAATTCTGTAACTTAGCTGGAATCCTGGCTGAGTAAGTATGAGAGTGTTAATAGATGTGTTCTTAGAACTTGGAGGCTTGAATATGAGTAAGAACCCAAACCCATAAATCAGGCCTTGTCAGCATCTCCAATAATTTTTGTTCCTCTGGGAGGAGGAGACTGAGTGGTGATAGTTCTGTTCTGACAGGGAAAGCTGATGTGGAGCTTTTTGTGGGGGTCATGATGATCTTTACAACATTTTGAAAAATATCCAACACAATTAATTTTTTTTCCCTCTTTTTGGGGTTTGACCAAGGTTCTTCCAAGTCATGGAATCATAGAATAATTTAAGCTGGAAAAGACCTCTAGCATCTTTCTCTTCTTTACTCAAAATAATGGGGACCTAGTGATCTAGGGAAGAGTTTTTGGTGTCTGGTCTATTTTTAAAGGCAAGGAGTTCATATGATAAAGAAATATCTCTTTATTTAAAAGCCAATGATCAAAGTATAGGACAGGACACAAGTCAGTTCAAACTGAGGATGAGAAAAACAGGCTTGTACATATCAAAATACTGAGAAACTCCACATTTGCTGCTCAGAAGAGGGGGTGTGACTTTCACCAACACTGATTTGAAGCTTTACAGATCAAAAGAATGAAAGAAGGTAAAGGGAGTAGGCAAGCTTCACCAAAGGCTGAAGTAGCTAAGCTGCTATCAGGAGCCCTCTTGTCTCGTGAGCATGAGAGGATTAAAAAGTGTCTAATATATAATGAATGCTTTTTATTAAAAGTTATTGGTAAGCTCATGGAAACTGCTGATGAGTTTAGACTTGGAAAAATGATAGAAGCAATCATAAATCAGATATTAGTAGAGACCTGAATAAATATACTGTGGAAGAGTTTGCTTAGTTTTTGGAGACGTCATGCCTTGGAAACTCCCTGGGAGTCCTTGCAAAAATCAGTTAGTGTGGACAAGGGTTGAGACTGACCACATGGCTTTGCAAAAAAAACACCTATGAGTTCTCAACTCTGGGATCAGAAGAAAGGTCTTACTGAGGGTAAATAGCATGTTGAAAGCTAGGGAAGACAGCACAGGAGAAAGTGGTCACTTTCAACAGAGCAAAGAATTCTGTGGTGGAGCCCTTGACGGGTTTTAGCACAAAGCTGCAAATGCTGGCTCAGAAGTTCCTGAAGTGCACAGACTTGGAAGGATGCTCTGGAAAAAAGCATCACTGTGTTTCTGTGATTCATCATGCCTCTTGGGAGGTGTGCATTGCTTTCCACTGATGCTGGGGATCCCACAGTGACAGCCGTAGCCAACTAACCTTTAAATGGCTAACTTAAGTAGAATGAATCCCACCCCAAACTAAAGAGTTTATTTCTAGCTAAGAGTAACATGGCATGGGATTTGCATGAATGGTTTGGAAGTTCTGCTGCTAGCTTTTATGACTTACACACCCTTTTGTTGCATTAAATGTGTTTTAGGGATGTGCAAAGCATGGGCCATCATATAATTTAGCACCATTTCTGGTCACATTCAGGAAATGCAAACCATGTAAGATGGGTGGAGAATCCAGTCATGTTATTGCTGCCATACTTCAGGAGATTTTGAGCATTCCTGGCTTCTTTTGGCAGTAAACACAGGTACAAGCAGTGTGTTTCTCTCTGTGTTGTTCCCAGTCGCATCTATCTCTGTAAGGCAGCTGCAAATCCTGTTTCCTTTGAGTTCTCAAATCATTTGTCCTCCTGAGATCCAGTGGCACCAGTGGAAATGAACACATCTTTCATAGGACAGTGGCAGACCATGCACATCCCCAAGACCTAAACCATTAAAAAACCAGAAGTCCTTGAAAATACCATCAGGTTGACGTGTTTCTCCTCTTTTCAAGTGCCCTATGGATCAGAGGAAGATAACAGAAAGGGTTTTTTCTAAAAGACATGAGCTATTCATTACTTTGGTGTGGTTGCCCTGGTTGTTTTTTTGTTGTTGGGGGGTTGTTTTTTGGTTGTTTTGGTTTTTACTATAAGCACAATTGAGTGTGACCATGCATTAATAGCTCTCTCTGGAATGAAGAAAAATAAAAATAATTAGGTGACTATTTCTTTGAATAGCTATCCATTCAGTCAGCAATTAATATGCACAGTTTGATATATTTGAATTCAAG